ATTAAAATCCAAACAGGCACCATATAGCGTTAGTTCATAGAGTAAATAGAGTTTCAATAATGAAAATTGATCTTGAATTGTCAGTTTATGTGGCTACATTGTGAAATCAGGAGTGCATAACAGACACCAAAGAGTTCCATAACACAGTGTTAGTGAGCAGCTGGGGAAAAGCTGACAGCAAATGCTAGGCTGATCAGAAGCTACTTATGGGCATTACCCAACAAGAAGCCTTAAGCTAACGTCAGCTAACGTCCAATACCAGAGCCATGACGACATTCAACACTCTAATAACTACCAGGTACTTCCAGTGTTGACATTATGTTAAATTAATCAAGAGAGCGGAGTAACCAAATCACCAAAGTCTACGTGCAAATATGTTGACGCCCCTGTCAGCGTCTGGTTACCTGCTGTGCTAGCATGGCTCATACTTCTGATATAAGTCACAACAGCTCGCATTAAACAACGTAGAAATAGCTCATCTACTTTCTCTTTAAGGTCTTAAAGGTGAAACTCACAACTGTAGACGACTTTATGTAGTCCTAATGTCCACGTCCTGTTAATTTCATGTTCCTTCACTGACAACAACACGCCATGTTTGAGAGACGCGACAGCAACAGGAAGTGGGCCGACTACGGCATCTGCACATGCGCACTCGCGCGCGTACGTCACAAACCACTGATCAACACGAACATACACTCTGGATGGTGATGTTTTGTAAAAGAAAAATATTGTGCATACTTCTTAGAATTGCTTTTTAAGATAAAGACAGTATGTGATTAAAACCCCCACTTTGTGAAAAACTGTTCATGGGGAACTATTCCACAAATGATAAGGTTTACACAAAATTGTATTCCATATAGATTCAGATTCATGCTGCTAAAATCTGGAACAGTCTTCCTGAAAATGGGAGACAGGCCTCCTCTCTGACAATGTTTAAAACCAGGTTAAAGACAGTTCTGTTTAGCTGTGCATACAACTGAGGGATCTTATACAGTATTTGTATCTTTCTTTTTAATGTACTGTGATTATTTATGATTTTAATGCTTTCTTATTTTGTTCAGCACTTTGAGTTGCCTTGTGTATGAATTGTGCTATACAAATAAACTTGCCTTGCCATAATAGAAAAAGTTTCATCGATGAGACGGACGCACAAGCCTTAATTTTTCACCACTAACCTAAGATCTATCAACTTACATAATTAATAGAAATGTTGTTGGAAGATTACAGCATCAACTTTCAAAAATCAGTTATTCTCGCAGTGGGGGGTGGTTGGGATGTGACAGCCCATACCCCTCCTTTCCCTATCAACACGGCTCATATAACATATCTTGGTATCAACATCTCATCCAGGCCATCAGAGTTACACTTAAATTTCACTCCAATCATCAAAACAATAACAGACAATCTCAACCGTTGGAATAGTCTTCCACTATCTCTCATTGGCCGTATTGCTGTAATAAAAATGTCTATTCTTCCCAAAATCAATTACCTTTTTTCCATGATACCAACACCGCCCACTCAATCATGGTTTAAATCTCTGGACTCAATTATCACATAATTTTACTGGAAAAATAAAACACCTAGAATCAAACTCTCCACCCTGCAAAAATCAAAAGCACAAGGAGGACTAGCGGCACCAAATTTTCTTCATTATTCTTTAGCTATACAGTTGCAATATATTTACAAATGGACTCACCCTGACTCATCAGACAGCACTTGGCGGGAAATAGAAGAAGCATTTTGTCACAATATCCAAATCTCAGACTTACCATTTCTTAGTAATTCAGTCAAACGCTCCCCATGCTTCAAAACCTCAACAATATCCACAACTCTGATGGCCTGGTGGAAATTTCAGAAAATGACTAACTGCACTCTATCATCATCTGGTCTCACACCCATCTGGAATAATCCTGACCTGTTAATCAACAAAAAACCTTTTCATTTCAGCACATGGGCAGAGAGAGGCATCACACACTTGCAGCACATCTTTCAGGACAACACACTGGTTTCATTTCCATGCCTGGTCCAGAAGTTTGGCATCAGGAGCACACAATACTTAGAATACCTACAGTTACAATCTTCAATTAACTCAGTATACAAAAACATAAATCTTGACCTTCCTTCAGCAGTCTCAGAGCTGCTAAACATAAGTACAAGGAAAAAACTTACAACTATTATATACAAAATCATAGCTAGCTCAGATCCGACAATATCACTCCCATATCAAAAATGGGAAAGAGACTTAACGCTTGCTCCTGATGCCAACTTCTGGCCTCGCGTTTGTAATAATATCCATAACATGTCAAAAAATACAAATCTACAATTAATACAGTACAAGATAATACATAGGACTCATTTCACAGCACAGAAACTCTCAAAATTTACTTCAATCTCGGATACATGCACCAACTGCACACAAAGTACAACAGACACCTACATTCACGCTATATGGTTCTGTTCACCTGTTTTCCTTTTCTGGAGACAGGTGACAGAATCACTCTCTGCCCTCCTGGATTGTCACATCCCACTCTGCCCATCCCTCTGCATACTGGGAGATACAGCATCACTAACACTCAGCCCATCAGACACTAAAGCTTTACTGATTGCACTAACCATCGCCAAGAAATCCATACTCATTAACTGGAAATCAAAAACTAAAATAAGCATTAACCAATGGAAAAATTTATTGTCTGATTATACGGTAGAGTCACATTCAAACATCTTCAATGAACTGTTTTTCTGACCAACTCCCTCAGGGCCCCTCTCACTCTTACTTTGACCAACAGAACACCCACATACACCTGAACTTTGCTGCGGTTGTCACCTACACCATCTCCATTATCATCATCACTAATATTGCTATTACGTTTTTATCATCATGATTGGTCAAATGTGGTCATTACCATACTCTTAACAATTTAATTATTGGCATTATTTTATTACATATCGTTTGAAAGGAAATGATAGCTTCTTCCCCCTACCATCTCCTGTCTTTTAATGCATCACATTAGAGTAGCACTGAAATGTCTTTATAAATACACATAGGGCCGGTCGGACGTGGGGGAGAAACCCACTTCGGGACATTCCCTCATGTCTGCCTTTTAATGCACTGTAGAACACATGTCACACAACAAAGTAGTGAAACTGTAAAAATAATACACTTTAAATAGGGAAGGGGGGACGGTGGAGGGAAGATAGCAGTACACCATGAAATTATGAATTATTGTTACTGTTACTGTTATAATAGAGATGGTAATAAGTGATTATTATTATTATTATTATTAATAAGATTGTTGTTATTATAATTATTTATAATCTCCAATTAAAAACTCAAATAGTTTTTGATCATGAGGATTTATGTGGATTATTATTGGTGGCGATGGTGATAATGTGTGGATGACAATAATATTGTATCTGTATTTCAATTACCTTCACACACACACGCACACATACACAAACAATCACAGAATACCTCCCTCAGTTACTACTAATTTCCTTGATTTGTTATTGTCTTATTTGTTGTATATTTTTTGTTTGTTTTGTATTTTGTCAACATCAGTCTTAGGGTTATCTTTCTGACTTTTATGTTGTTATTGTTATTGTATTGTTTGTGTAAATGTTGCATAATAAAAAAAAAAGAAAAAAAAAATGTTGTTGGAAGTAGTCATTAATAAAGAAACGAATTAGTACAGATTCAGGGGTATTCTTAGTGCAAGACAATGCTTTTGGCTGCTCAAGAAAGTACACATCCACCAACAAGGATGGAAGAGTGTAATTAATAAACCACAGAGTTTTGTGTGTGCCAGTTGAGCTAAACTGAGACTGCAGGTCACATTGAGGTTAAGTGAGAGTCTCAAAATCTGATTCTGGAATGAGTTATTTTTTCTCTTATACATTTGCAATTTATATGTAAATTAATTTTTATATTCATTTTTTTTGTTTTAGAATTGCAAGTCTTAATTATCATCTAAAATAAGAAAGGAAGACCTCCATATTGAATTGAGGTGGTTTGTGTTGCCCCTGATCAATATTTGTTAGAACATGTGATTATGACTAACTTATGCTAAAACAGTAGTTGTACTGAGCGCAAATAGCTTCATGGAATGTCATTTCCGGCTCATCTGTTAGGGAGGAACTGAAACTATAAGAACAAGCAATTTATTTTCCTTCTTATGCAGACACCACAGTCAGCACATCCACATACTCCCTCACAACTCTCAGTGGAAATGGCGTCTGAAAAACTTGATGTTGGAATTATTGTGCCTTCTGTGATTCTGGGGCTATCCTTTCTTGTTGGAGTCCCTGGGAACCTCCTGGTCATCTGGACAATCATAAAACACCTCAAACAACGTTCCCACACCGTGCTCCTCATCCTGCATTTGGCTGTAGCTGATCTTCTGGTCCTCATCACCCTGCCTCTTTGGATTTACTCCTTAGCTCGCTCCTGGGTCTTTGGAGAAACTACATGCAAAGCTATGGTTTTTCTTATTTATGCATGTATGTACAGCAGTGTTTTCCTCATCACCCTAATGAGTGTGGAACGATTTGTGGCAGTTCGCTACCCAATTATGTCAGCTGGTTGGAAGAAAAAAAAGGCTCTAAATCAATTGCTGATCTGTCTGTGGATTTCAGCGTTCATGTTCAGCTTCCCGGTTATACTAACGCAAACTGTAGATGGAGAGGACGGTGATGAGCACTGTCTGTACCGCCAGTATCAATCGGAAACTCAGGAAATGGTGTTTGTGCTACTCGAAACACTTGTGGGTTACGTTCTGCCTTTCTCCATCCTTGTCATTTGTTATGGATGTCTTTGCAGCAAAATCACCAAGATGACATTTAAATCAAAGCGAAAGTCAACTATCCTGATTGCAAGTGTTGTACTGATGTTTGGCATTTGTTGGACACCTCATCACATTGGAAATATTTTCTCACTCATTGTTATAGCCGTTGAGAAATCCTATCCTGAACAAGTGGAAAATCTAGAGAGCGTCAGCAGCACAATGGCTTTTATCGGCGGGGCCATGGTCTTCATCAGCAGCACCGTGAACCCCATCCTGTACATGTTTGCTGCCCGATCCTTCAGAACTTCTATACAGGACACTGGTATCCAGAAACTTCTCCGCCACATCTCCAGCACCTCCCCAGGGGAAGGCAGGGAGGTGACTTTTGTGTCCAGGAGGCAGACCAACCAGACCAGCAGCTCTGTGTGTCTAGAATCCAAAGAGCATACAGACATTGTTCTATAATATTTGAACTAAAGGGTCCTCTAATGTTGACAATTTCTACTGGACATTTTGCAACTTGTTTGTTAATAACAAAAGGAGATATTTTTCTTGTAATAATACTCGCCAAACAAAACTGAAATGGAACATACATACTAACACAGTGGATGTGTGCTTTCACTATTATGGATGTAGTATATCATGTTCCAACTGCAATTTATTTGATGATATTTAATGTTTGTATATCTATGTGAATAATATTAAAATGTTTACCCTGTAATCATACTTCCTCTCTCTTGTTACACATCTTGTCACGCTATCATTAAGAAAAGTTTGTTCCTTTTTGTAAAATGATCTTCTTGTGTGCAGATATAAACAAAAATAGGTATCGACTCATTTCTTGTACGTACACACATAATTATTGTTATAGTTCCATTGTACACACATATTGGCTAATATACAACCTAATATTCGTCTGAATTACAACGCTCTAGTTTTGTTTTGCTTTTCTTAAATTGTTTATAAACAGCAGATGGCAGTAACCCTGTATTTTCTGCATTAGGGTTTGATGTTTCTTTTGCACTTAATTGAAACTGACCAAAATCAATAATCATGCCAGTTAGAACTTATTTTTCTACAAATAATTATACACTTTTAACTTTTGTTTGCTTCATACGGAGTTTAACATATTGATAGCATTATAATTTCTTAAAGATCTTTAGAGGGAAGCATTTTAAATCATAATAAATTGACAACACACAAGTTGTTCACACAAGTTCAAGCCGTGTCTGCGTAGGTTTCCTCCGGGTGCAACGGTTTCCCCTATCACTTAAAACGTGCACAATATAGGTGTGAATGTGATGAGTGAGTGAATGGATGGTGTTGGTTGGGGCTTTGATGCGCCAGTGTGTTCGGCAACTCGCTTCCATCATCACCGTGTGTGGAATGATTGCAAAAATATCTGAACTCTGAATATTGTAAAGCGCTTTGGGTGAACTTGGTCCGTAAAATCTGTTATATAAATAAACATTACTTACTTACTTACATACAGATAAAGTAGGAGGAAGAAGAGGACTCAACCATACTGCAAAGCGTTTTCAAATGCAGCTTGACTGACAATGGGTTATAGGCCTAAAGTCGTATTGTCTTACCTACCTAGCCATAGGCGTTTTAGTGCTGGCCATGCAAGGGGAAATAATGTTGTTTAAAGAGTTAAAAATGTAAATGGTGAAAGCACTAGCAAGCATCACCCCCTAGTAGCCCCTACCCAACACAAGTTTGAGTTGAATGGTTGAAGTCTATCAGTGGCTGCAATCACTAAAAGCATTGCAGATCAAGAAAAACATATACATATTATTTCTAAATTCACGTCCTCCACGTGGAGGCGTATTGCTTCAGGATTACCTTTGAGTCCGTGTGTATCAGGAAATCTGGACCTTGGGTTGAGTATTCTTGCACTGCAGCCCCATGGGATTTGTAGTCCATACTCTGTTCTGTGCACCTGCACTGAGCATGTTGCCGTGTAGCTTGTGTAGCTTGTGTAGCTTGTAGAGCAATGATCTTTTTACTTGTCTGTTTATTTGTTTACACTAAGACAAATTATTTCGAAATATTTGGTCTTCTGAGTAAATATATGCAAGGAACACCTTTGCTTGACTCTGGATCCTGTGTGGTCAGCCAGCTTCCTGATCCAGCCGTCAACACCAATAGAATGACAGTAAACGGGGGAGGGTCCCGCCCTTACCTTTGCACGTCAGCCAATGAGCGTTCGGTCTGTTGTTACTCTTGCTCGGAGCCAACCACACAGGTAATTCAGAAAAAATAGAAGGGGAAAACGCAAGGGCTTGTTATGGAGTTCATGTGAAAGAAACACGGATTTCCACCCTTCTGTTCCAGTTTAACCAGTATCTCTGGATAAAAGACTCCAAAGTAGTGACACAGGTACAGTCTCCGACCGTAAACTCTGTGGTAGCTCTTCTAAAAACATCCCCTTTTCTCTACGTTTATCTCAATTGAGTTTCCAGATCTTTTGTTCGCTCTTCTTATCACTTGGAAAAAGGTGAACCCTCGTTTTGTATTTTTTTATTTGAATCTTTGCTTTAATTGTAGTTTTCCCCTTGTGGTCCCTGATGGCTTCGCACAGTGATACTCTGGTGGTGTTCTTTGGGGCAACAGCTGGTGCAAATGGGGGTAAACTGGGTTCGGATGAGAGGGAAATAATTCTCTTGGTGTGGCAAATTGTGGACCTCCGTGAGAAAAAGGTACGGATCTCCCTGACCTCTTCGTGTATCGCTGTGTAGTGTAAAGCGTGTGTGTGAAGCTGTAGTGGAGGAGTTTCCTCGTTCTGTGGTGTGTTCTGAAGCACAGGCCTAGCTGCAGGACTCACGCTTCTGCCGCCTCAACTCCAGGTGTGTCAGAAGTGTGTTCATGGCCTTTAACCTTAGATAGCAAAGAATTTGGTTTTGCATTTCAGGTAAGCCAGAATCTCTAAATAGTTATGCTTTAGAGACAATTATTTGCTTGCTTGAAAAGTTGTCTGTTGATTTGAAATTTCCATTTCTTAAACATGGGGACCATTTCTGAGGTGTAATATAGGCATCTTGACCCAATGAATCACTAATGACTTTTACAGGTGGGGAAGCTTCACAAGTGTCTTGTCAAACCTGACACTTTTGAGCTGACTGAGCAGTGTAAAGAAGAAACTGAACTGACTCTTGAAGAATTATCCAAAGCCGAGCCTCTGGACAAAGTTTTGCAACAGGTGAGTCATTGTAATTGCCATACAGAAGCAAAATAACACAAATAGTAAAAGTCCAGACATGATAATTTACAAATGTACTTTTGATACATGTATATCTCATATCATCACACAAGCGTATATAATTCCCATATCTTGCACAGTTGGTTTAGAGTTGTCCTCCACCTGTAGGGAGGTGTCACTCCTGACAGTTACCTCTGCTGACAGTTAGAGCTGAGAGGCAGGCTCTACTGAGCCTGAGGCGTCTGCAGATAAGCTGAGCTCAGGTCTCGTCTTGTCTCAGCCTGATGCTGGAGACATCTGGAAAGGGGAATGTTTAGCAGGAGCCACTCCTCTGTAGGATATGAAGGGCATGGACAAGATATAGCAGCAGAGTTTTGTTGTAACCTGACCTGAACGTCATATATTTGGATTTGTTTTGGGTTGCTCCTCCTTACATATGTTGCCAAACGTGTTTTTCAAGAACCAATGTTTGTTGACTATGCACCATGACATTTTTAGAAAAAAACACTTGTGCTTCAGTCTCATCATCCATAGGAATGCTTTTGCTTTATGACTTTGCATAAACTCATTCACTTACTTTGAAGCAAGTGAATTGGCTCTATTTGTAACTACTCATCCTGTGTTATATCCATTCCAATCTTGCTTTGTGCTGTTCAGCATTCATTAGATGTGTTATTGGCAGAAATGCTTTTGTTTTAGTGGTCGGCTCTACAGCTCACTGTTGGATTGCATGTGTACTGAACCTTCAAATATTAACCAATGTAATCAGTCCATTCGTCTCACTTCTATGGCTTTGTTTTTTCTTGCTATTGATTCTGTCATATTAACTTGAGGCAAAGTAGAGATGTTATCAATGTCACTTATGCTGCTGTATAAATGAATAGGTTATGATTTTACTTCTCTAAGATTCTTCTTTTGAAAACAGTTTGCGGGCATTTGGGACATGTCACTATTTGTTTTAGTGACTCATGATGTGAAGATTCCCACAACTTGATTATGTGCTTGTGAAATCCACATAGCTTTAGCTTTAGTTCACACTCATCACCTCTGAAGAAACCGCTACAACCGTTATTGCAATTATTTAATGATAAGTTCAAGGGTTTTAATTTATCAGCCCCATATGCATCATTCAAAGCAAATTGTGTTATTTAGACGGTGCAATTGAACTTTATTATGTGAGCAACCACAACCATTCTTGGATGACTCTTGTTATGGCCTGTTGGAGCCGGAGGTTGAGCTGTCATTTACTCTGCTACTTAAATCTAAATATGACCTTTTAACTTGTATGGATATAACCAACAAAATAACAGTCACTTGTCCGCTTGGCACGATTGAAGTTTCTTGTTGAATTTATAAAGTGTGTTTTATGTTGCAGACAGCGGTCTGGGTGTGTCATAGCCTTTTGTGATATTTGCTTTTCCCTAATCCACCTCAAGTAGTGGAACAAGGTGGAGCCGCGAGGCCAGTTATAGCAAACATGACTTTCTTTACATAGAACAAGAAGCAGGACGGCTGCATGGCTGAGATCTGAATGCCTTTTGAATAATCCCAAACATACATCTAATGTCTTCTGGTTACTTTACAAGGATTGATTTGGTTTCATGGTCGACCATTTCACTCTTGCTGTTCACAAGTCTGAACAAGTAGACTTTCTGTATATTGCTTGTGGCCATGTCAAATTATCCACACTCTGTTTTCTGAAAGTTTTGGGTGCTAGCCGTGTGTTCATTTGGATTTCCATGTGCCTTTTGGTTCTTTTTGTGTCTATTTAATGGCCAGCTACAAAATTACTACAGTATGTCGCATGTTACGAGGCCTTTTTTATTTTTATTTTGCCCCCTTCCCCCAAAAGTAACAACATTCAATTGTTTTAGAACAGGCTTTCTGAAATCTCAGGGATCTGCATTGTTGTCAGTGTCCTGATATTTTGCTCCATGTTCAACTCAAACTACCAGACTGTCATTAGTCCCCCCCCCATCCTGATGCTTGTTGCTGCACATTTGCATATCCATTGGCACACAGAACAGGATACTGATATTGTCAGTCATATTGACACTATCACTCTAGTCTTTTTCTATTGATAATGAAAAAATCCACATTTGCAATTTTAAAGGCCCACCAGAACCAAAAGATATAAATATCAGGGACATTTACACCTCCTGTTGCAGTAGCTGCAATCAAGTACACAGACTCCACAGTTTTAAATGGTATTGTTTTTTTGACATAACTAACAAACACAGTTCTAACTACATTCCACTTTTTTGGGTGAGGATAGTTTTCTCTTTCTGAAAAAGACTGATTAGTGGTGTGATCTTAGGAGTTCCTTGTCACTCCCTCATAACAAATACAACTCCAAAACCTGTTGGACCAGTAATCTTTCCTAATCCAGGGGTTGTGTCCAGAGCCACATGACCGACATTCAGATCTTTGAAATCTTTCCACAGACAGAAAAGTAAAAATGTTTAAAAGACCTTATGTTGGACATGACAAGCTTCTTTTACACTCTTCCTTTCAGTTTCAACAGTTGATATCCACAGAACTAAAATGTTTCGGCAGAAGTTCTTACAAGCTGTGCGTGAACAATCCAATGGTTATTCGACAGGTGCTTCATCCAGAAGCTTCCAAAAAGGTGAAAATCGTGACATAAACACGTTAATGTAATACCACGGTTTTATCATTGACTATTGCTTGTGTTTCCAGAATCTCGTACTTCCTGAATGTTTCTTTTCCTTTGTTGATGTGAGGAAGGAGTTCCACAAATGTTGTCCTTCTTCAGGACCTGTGCAAAAGCTCACTCTGTCCTCTATGCTGGATTGTATCCTTTCCATACTTCCTCAGCCCAGATTATCTCGGCCATGTGCATCTTTTATTGTGTATTGTCCTTTACACTGTGTGTAGATGTAGGCCTCCCTGCTGTGCCAGAGCAGGCGGTGGGAGTCAAGGAGGTCTCGAGTATGGTTCAGCTGCTTCTTTGCATTCTGGATGAACCCTACAGTAAGTGGTATTTACTGACAGTCTGCGAATCCTACATTTTGGAGTTGCTTCTCCACACCTGTCTACATGGCCTAGGAATGTAGACAGATTAATGCAAAACATGTTTGGTGTCCTCTCTGTGTCTCTGGTCCTCCATGTGTCTCTGGTGCTCTCTGTGTCTCTGGTCCTCTCTGTGTCTCTGGTCCTCTCTGTGTCTCTGGTCCTCTCTGTGTCTCTGGTTCTCTCTGTGTCTCTGGTCCTCTCTGTGTCTCTGGTCCTCTCTGGTCCTGTGTCTCTGGTCCTCTCTGTGTCTCTGGTCCTCTCTCTGGTCCTCGCCGTGTCTCTGGTCTGGTTTGTCTTGGGGTTCAATAATCAGAGGAATGTAAAGTGCTCAATAAGCGTCGGCAGATATTTTCTTATTTTGCTCAACAGATGAATGACTAATACATGTTTCACCTTCAGATCACAAAATCTCTTGTATTGAAACGGTGAATTACAAGTTTGACTCTGGAACCTGGTGAGTAAATAAATGTTTTCATGAATCTCATTTACTATGGATTTAAATGTATTAAAATGTGCGTGGTTCACAAGATTATCTATAATAAGAACAAAGGCGAATTAACATAATTATAGTTTTATTCTAAATAATCTTTTAAAATTTTCCTCGAGATACAAATGGTTAAATATGATATTGAATGAATAGATTTATTTGTATGACGGTATAATGAATAGTTCCTTTCTCTCACTTTGGTCATTGGCCGATTACATCAACAGAGAACGTGTTATTAAAGCGCTTCAACTTTGCCATCAAGTGCTTAGCAGGATCTCTTGTAACTGAAGCAGCAAATCCTTCTCCCTGACTGCCCAAAATTACTCACCCCGAAAAGTGACATTTTATCTTGCATCGTATTACCGTGTGAACTCCAGGATTGTACATCTTGCATATACATACAATAGATGCATTATTGTTTAAAATGTCTTCATTGTGTCTTCATTTATCCACTTTCCTTTCAGTAGTAAGACCGAGCCAGTGGACTGTGAGACAATCGTCAGAGCCAGGGGGCTTCCGTGGCAGTCGTCAGATCAAGATATTGCTCGCTTCTTTAAAGGGCTAAACATTGCAAAGTGCGTACAACTCGACACTTCTGCTTTTGATGTGTTTTTTAATAACATAATCCAACTGAGATTTTAAAACATGACTTTGTTTTAGGGGCGGTGTGGCTCTCTGTCTCAATAATCAGGGCCGGAGAAGTGGAGAGGCTTTAGTTCGTTTTATTAATTCCGAACACCGAGACTTGGCTCTGGAACGGCACAAACACCATATGGGCAGCCGCTACATTGAGGTAAGATGGAGGTAGCTAAGATTATTGTTGAAAAGGAAAAGTTTGTTTTATAAATTGTGTATTGTATTTCTTTTAGGTTTACAAAGCTACAGGAGAGGAATTTCTAAAAATTGCTGGAGGTAATTGTTATTTCTATGTTTATCTGGATTGGACAGTCCTGTGAGAGGGATGAGAACTTGTCATTGGTTAGAAGTCAGTCCTGTGAATATCTGTAGACAGACTTTTACCAGCCAAAGGAGTCTTTTGTTCAGTCGGTCACCACTTTGAGCTGTAAGTTTGCCTCATCCTAGTGAAGCTTGGCTGGCACTAATAAAAGAGGCTTTGTGAGAATCTCTCAGCCCATTGCCCCCATCCTTCTCAGTGTGAGCCCAACCCTCTGAGGTACACTACAGAGAAATGTTCCTGTTGGCTGACAGCCGCTCACCTGCTCTCTGCGCTCCCTCGAGGCTGTGGAGCCGCCGCCGATCACAACTGTGTTGATACAAAGGAAGTGTGTGGATACAAAGCCTGGGCCCTGACCGCTGAGCATCAAACACGCACTATACAATCTAGGAACAGTGGACTTTGGACCGATTAGTTACTCTCACTGTAGATTGATAGTGCCCTGGACTTTAGGCTAACGGTTAAGTCTGAACAATATAAGGAAGGCAGAAGTAAAATGTGAATTGCTTTTCATTATCTGCACTGTTGGTGTTCTTAGATTACTACAAATGTATCTTTTATCTTCAGGTACATCCAATGAGGTGGCCCAGTTTTTGTCCAAGGAGAACCAGGTCATAATTCGCATGCGAGGGCTTCCGTTCACTGCCATGCCACAGGAAGTGCTGTCCTTCCTGGGACCTGAAAGCCCAGTGACAGACGGAGCAGAGGGCTTGCTTTTTGTGAAGTATCCTGACGGGAGACCAACTGGAGATGCATTTGTGTTGTTCTCCTGTGAAGAGTATGCACAGAACGCTTTGAAAAAGCACAAGCAGATTCTGGGCAAGCGATATATCGAGTTGTTCAGGAGCACCGCAGCAGAGGTTCAGCAGGTAAGTGCACCCTGCACGTTCTCCTTAGTGTTATGTAGATACTGTACATGTGTATCTACACATACAGATACACACATGGACTGTGATTTCTCTTTTGTGGCAGGTGTTGAATCGATACTTGTCCACTCCTCTGATCTCCACACTGCCTCCATCACCTGTAATGCCCCTCCCAATGCTCGCCCCACAACCCTTCCTCCCAGCCTCAAGTAGTGTCCGTGACTGTGTCCGCCTGAGAGGACTGCCCTACACAGCAGGCATCGAGGACATACTGGAGTTTATGGGAGACCACACGGTCGACATCAAACCTCATGGAGTCCACATGGTTCTCAACCAACAGGTCTGATCAGGCTTATTCTTCAGGTACCTTATCAAAGCTGCACACACTATAATACTGTATGTCCCTGAATAGGGCCGGCCCTCTGGTGATGCCTTTATCCAAATGAAGTCTGCAGACAAGGCCTTTATGGTTTCCCAGAAGTGCCATAAAAAGACTATGAAGGACAGATATGTAGAGGTGTTCCAGTGCTCCACAGAAGAGATGAGCATCGTCCTGATGGGGGGGACACTAAACCGTAGCGGCCTGTCGCCTCCACCATGCAAACTGCCATGTAAGTTTACTGAGAAACTTTTAGCTGTACCTACTCTACAGTCTTGCCCCTATGTGTGCTTAAGGTTACAGGGTTAGCAGCCTATTTGTATGTGTATACTGTTGCAACCCTCAGACCATCTTCATTGTTGGAAATGAAGCAATGCCATCATGACCACCATGCACATTTAATTATACTGTAAACAAGAGACTCAGTTGAAGGACTAACCCCAGGGTGTTGGTCTACATTACATATGAGAATAGAATACTATGAGCTGTGCACTGGTTTCAGTATATGATGAGCTAAAGTGTATATTGTTCTGTAGGTCTGTCCCCCCCAACACCCTATGCAGCCTTCCCTACTCCCCCAGCTCTTCTGTCTGAAGCCCTGTATCAGCCCCCCCTGCTGGCAGCTCCTCGCACTCCCCACACTGCTGCCCATGCACTTTACTACCCTCCTCAGCCTCATCTTTACATGAACATGAACATGAACTACACGGCTTACTACCCCAGGTTTGTCAAAAAGCACACATTGATGTCAGATTGTAGATCAAGTTGGTATTGAACTCTTGTTCCTCCAGTCCCCCGGTCTCCCCCTCGACGGTGGGCTACTTTGCAGCTCCTCCGGGGGCCATGGCAGCAGCAGTGGCCGCGCAATCCCACCCTGCTGCAGCATCGGCTTCCTCCATGCTACCGCCTTCTGCTCTGGTCCGGATGCAGGGGCTTCCCTACAATGCTGGCATCAAGGACATTCTCAGCTTTTTTCAAGGATACCAGGTCAGTTTAATATCTCTGTTGATTACTTTCAAACTTTTCTTCTGGAAACATGTTAGCACTATTGTTTTAGCCCAAAAGAAATGTGGCCATATCTGGTTGTAGAAGCAAGATTTCCTCAGATCTCAGAAACTAAACAAGTTTTAGTACATGGAAGACCGCTTGTAAAATCAGATGCTGCAAATTGCTGTTTTTTAATGGGAAGTGGCAAGACACGTCACATTACCTTGTATCAATCTGGTACCTCTGCGGGTACTTGATGCCACTCGCTCTGTTTTCATTATTCAACCGCACTGCAAAATATCCAAATCTAAAAGTGTTGGTGTAAATAAGCAGATACAAACAAGAAGAACATAAAAACAAGAGTCCAATTGTGGCCTTCATCAAATTTTTGTGTTTTCCATGAATTGCTTGGATCAAACAGTGCAAAATATAAATGTGATTATTTATTTTTTTCACTGGTCTTTTCATCATTATTTTAACATTTGGCTTTAACAATAATATAAATGTCCTCAGAATACTTGGATCATGCTACAAACTATAAAATGTATATGTGGCCTATATTTAGTAAAATGTTGAACCTACTGTATGTGTTTGAAGTACTGTATGTGTGGCTGCTGCAGTATGCTATAAGTACATCATGACTGCGTTATATATCATGTATGTGTAGTACTCTCCCGAAGACTACAGCGGAATGGTTCCGATGGGAGAACAGGCCAGGAGTTTGATTCAGCCCAAAGAATGGCTCTGTCTTTAGAGACGTGCCCAAAGGTAAGGAGAAGCTCCTCCAGAACCAGGGGGACAAGGCGGCCATTGACTCTCTTACTAAAATGTGGGAGGGTGTTTTCATTTTCTCGCCAAATAATAAAAACTGTATTTGAATATCATGGTTCTAGTTTGTTAATCCTTCTAATTTTTTTTTAAACGACATGATTCAAATCCCACATTCTAGTCTGCAGAGAAATGCCCAGTCTTGCCATGGCGGTTTGGAGCTTCAGTAGCAGCATTTCATTCCGCATGCTCCCGGTCCGACCTGCCTTTCCTCTTCAGTCTTTGGTCAGAGTGTGTTTTTTTTTTTCCCATGGCTGTTCTGTGTCTCCAGATTGTCTTTGTTCTACATTCTTTAAAATAAATACTTTTCACCCAACACCCAAGGATATCACAAGTCATGTCTGAAATAAAACAAGTTGTAATTGTTTGTGAGTGCCATTGACAGTAGTCCCCAATGGCACCCAAAGGTTCTCCTTGGTAATCCAACATTAGGCAAGGAAAGTTTATCTGTATAGCACAGTTCATACACAATGCCATTCAAAGCACTTAACAAAACAAGACGGAACAATCACACCAGGCGTTAAAATCCCAAATAATCTGTCAGTTATAAAGAAAGATAAAATCCCTCAGTTGCAAGAACAGCTAAACGGAACTGTTTTTCAACCTGGCTTTGAACATTGTCAGAGTAGAAGCCTGTCTCACATTTTTATGAAGACTCTTCCAGATTTTTTGCTGCATAAATCTGAAATGCTGTCTCTCCATGTTTACTTCTGACACTGGGCACCAGCAGGAGGCCAGTCCCTGTGCTCCTCAGAGTCCCAGTTGGTTCATATGGCTCCAACATGTCACAGATGTGCTCTGGTGCAAGGCCATGGAGAGACTCTATTCTCTGTACTTTAGTGCATTAGTAAACATCAATATTGATTTTTAGCTTTAAGTAGTCTGAAACATGTAAAGTTATTGCAGGGCTAAGTTGGTTTTAATTACTTTTTAGGGATTTTTTTTTAGGGAAAGACACATATTGTTCTGGAGAAGCTTTTCAGAGCAAAAACTGAATCATAGGCACCTGTAATAATGTTTCTCAGCATCCCTAATGACTGTAGTCAAAGCTCCCTCCAGGGGGCAGACTTGGCCTGTAGGCTTTGCTTTGAGCACTATATAACTAACTGTTGAACCCATACCTGATTAGACTGAATCTTTTTGTGACATAGCTATTTAGTCACTACTCTTAACGACTCGCCTTGTCTTCTATTACAGTACATACAGATTTCTTGTTTTGTTGTCTTGGGTATTTCTATCTATACATAATGCATTTTGATAGGCATGCTTGGTGCAATCTAATGAAATAAAATCAATCAACTTTATGCATCCATTTGATCTGCATGCCAACTAACACTTGTGTTTGTGTGTCTTTGCTTGAAGCTCATGGGAACAACATGTCATCTCATGTCTTTCTAACGGGTATTGGTTTTCACTGCAGTTAATCCGGTCTCGAACGGAATCCCCAATTAAAAACAATCTTGGGCTCCCTCTGGTGTCATACGTGTACAACTTCGTTTCAGTAACACCCATTTCTCTCTGCACAGCTGCAACCAGATGGAATCCTCATTTTGTATAACTTCAGTGGGCAGTGCAATGGAGAGGCCTTGGTTACCTTTCCAAGCGAGGAGGCGGCGAGACAAGCCGTCGCCGAGAGGTCCACCCAGCTCTTCTACGGGCAGCAGGTCCACCTCGCTGTGTGTAACTGACCTTCCGACCGCCCACCTCATGCCTCTGACACTCCTGAGCTCTATTGCCATATTACTGCTGCGCTACACCAGGACCAAGAGCAACTACTGTAACTGCAGAGAGAGGACGCTGCTCATGTTTCTAGCCTGTCGTTCTAGTGTCTTGTTCTAAAAGTGAGCCTCCATTAACTTACTTTCAATGATTCTTTTGTCTGTGCGGAGATTCTTTCGGTTTTGAATGTGTACGATGTTTGACTTTTGGCCTTTTTATGTCAATGCCAAGATATTATTAATCCACTGATGGACAAGTGTCAAGCAGAGCTGCAGGGACTGGCGAAAACCAAACCATAGGTACCAGACTGTATAGTAACGTGCATGTCTTTTCTGTTTAAAGGATCGTGTAGCAAGTTTCATGTTTCAGTAGCGCTTATTTTTTCTACTCAAATTAAAGTGCATGATGAATTTATATTTTTATTACATTTCCTGGAAGAAAATGTCACAAATGGGCCGACAAAAGGAGCTTTCCAATAGCTGCTGCGCGTGTGACTTTGACTGTTTTTCTCTGGGCTAATGCTGTGCTTCTGTTGACGAACACCTGGTTCTTTCCCCAGAGACACACTGGGCCAAACCTCTGGTAGATATCATTTGTTTTGGTGCAAGTTTGAGACTTGCAGGAACTATGAACAATTTAAAATATATGAACCTGTAAAAAATAAAGTAGTGTGTGAAATATAAGTCTTGCAATGTGCTTACATTTGTACTTACATTAGGGACCAGACATTACTTACATAAAATATATCTAAATCCGCTTGGTTTAATGATGCAATATTGAGGGATTATTTTCTATGGAGAGTTTAAGGTTGTGGTTCAAAGAAGCTGGAGAGTTGGTCAAATTTCTTTTCTGATGTATTTTATTGATATACACTATTTAAAGCCTACAGTATAATGCAAAAAGCACTGCAGTCTTAAAAATTACAAAATGTCAACATACAAAATATACAAGAAATTACAATACAAGGCCTGGTAAACATGAGCTAAAACTATTTCCCTTACATTTTTTTACAATACCAATGTACAATATATAGGCATAGATGTATGCATTACATTATGCATATGTTGCATGCAACAATCCAATGTGTACCAATATTTTAGGAATGACATCCATTTGAAAATATCAAAAAGTAAAATTGTACTACAGGGGATATTGTTTGATCTTTGGTTGTGACACAGTGGACTCAGCTGGTTTTGGACGTCTCCGATACTTAAAACACATTCATATGTGTATAAGAGCAATTTATTAGGCGGCATTATTAATTATCTAATTGCTGGTAGTTCTTACACGTTAAAATGGTTTGCATCATGTTTTTTTATTTTGCATAGCCTTAATGTATGTGTTCTCTCTGTATATTACACAACAGCATTCACTCACACAAGCTGCACCAAATCTGTTCCACTGTGTCGAATCCAGGGCATCAGCAGTTACACTAACAGTCTAGTCTAGAGGCATCAAGGTATTTTGTAATATATTTTTGAGTTTATAATAAGGCATGGGGCATTATTCAAATGCATAGCAAATTCATTTTCATTCACTGTACTTCAACCCACAAATTCCTCTCCGTAAACACTTGACCGTCGCATGCAGGAGTGGCATCGTCAAAAGCTTACTGTCTAAAGAGAATGCTGAACAAAAAGTTTCACTATATCACTGCTCGGGTTGATGCTGCCAGGTTATTGCTGCCATTGGAGGCGAGCGGAAAAAAAAAAACATTGTTTCCTAATGCTGCCATAAAGGTAAAGTGTATTTTTTAGCAAACAGAAGGCACACAAAGGAATCTGAGAAACTAACTCATTATTGCTGGAGAGGCAAAAGCGCATCTTTGCAACACTGGGGCATCTGAGCCTAACGTGTATGCAGAGCCCGGCAGAGAACGGCTCCATAGCTCCATGTCGTCCTTTCGGTCATGTGTTGCTAAATCTTATCTTATTCTGCCAAAATGAACCAAAACACTCTTGTAACATACCGGACACAGAAAGGGTCACAGCCTATATCATGCACTACATACTAAACAAGAGTTGGTTGTGCAAATGAACAAAAGCTTTCACTACCGTTCAAAGCTGCTCAAATATTATAAGGCATTTGTTCAACTTGGCGAGACTGACAGTTACGCTCATATAGACCAGCCAGGAGATTAAAGATGTGGAATGTTGTGTACCGAAAATCCATGGCCTTAAATCCAAATGCTACGATTAATTGTGCTATGATTGCCAATACGCTACAAATATATTATTGGATTAGGGTTCTTTTGAAGTCAACAGTGTGGATGCTTGTTATCGTCCATTGTGCTATACTGAAGATCTGGCTCAGTGACCGCACACTCCTGAGGTTTGTATGGAGCTCGCAGAGGAGGTCATCACTCATAGAAGTCCTGCTGGTGAAGGGGGCAACAACGCCGCTGTGTATGTGGACTTGTAAAAATGATCGGTCTGCATGGCTCACGTCGCAGTGGGCTCGTTGGCTGTCGTCCTCTGGGTTTTGTCGCTGTGCTGCTCTCACTGCGGCTGGAGGGGCTTCTCTGCTTACGACTGGTTGTGTGCAGCAGCAGGACGTTGGGACATATCTCTGCCGATGATTTCATTCACTGAAACAAAAAATAAGAAAAACACAAAATCCCTTAAATGTGTATTCTTAAACGTACTGCATCAATCATTGTTTCTAAGGGCAAATAATATATTGGTTTTAAGGACATTTATTAACATTTATGTACATTGGTCATCTGCCTCTTTCTGTGGTTGAATGGTTTGATTCTCTGATTTGTGTTGGTGAATCGACATCTTTGTGAAGTCCTCAGACCACTGTCCCAATATAAGGTAATAAAAGCTTGAATCAAGTCTTGTTTATCTCAATTTGAGTATATTTTGACTTTCCTGAAACGAGACTTGCCAACGGAACAAGCCACTTTGTCTTTTTAAGTGCTGTTGCAATTTATTTCTCATTCTAAGGGAGACATTTCTTGAATTGTCTTTTATCTTTTTAAAACAAGACATTTTGGCTCGTCCCAATGGAAAATCTTGTTTTTAGTTTGTCAAAATGAACTCAAAGTAAGACAAAAACCACTTGATTTAAGCATTTATTACCTTATATTTTATCACTTTTTGCAGTGTATGATTTAGGGCTATACAAAAATTGAATGTAGTTTTTAGAAATACTGCCTATTGTTTCAACTTCAAACACATTCAAAGGTAATACTACATCTGTGAAAATATATTCAAACAATGAAAACGTGTGTACGTGATAACTTAGTCAGTTTACAATGAACCAAAGACACGTTCGCAGACATGTTTCTAACTGCCAGCAGAGGGCAGTCTTGTCCATTAAAGTCTGACCAAAACTAAGCACACAATTTAAACTGGAAAACTTTGCAGATGAAAAAAACAAATGAGTGACAATTACAAAGGTCACTAAATGTGGTCTTGACAACAGTGCTGGCAGTGGTGCAGAGCTTTTGCCTTTCACATGGACTGACTTTCCACACATGTCCTGCACCAACCCATTACTTCATTACATTTAATAGCAATGGTCCATGCGCTCCTTTTCCCTGTAAAGCTGTGTTTAGAACAAAATATTGTGCTGCAGCTTAATTACTCCCTTAACTCAGTTAGAGCTGCTGACTTTGAAATAAATAACAGATTAGTGCTGTTCAGCCCTGCCGCCTTTTGTGTGCGTCTTCTACATCTGCTCCTGCTTCTATGTGCGCACTGGGACTACAGACACACAGCAGGTCACCCATAAAAACGCCTGATCCGTGAAGAGAGAAAAAAGGCAGGTTCGGGACAGGGGGAAGACCTACATTTGTTTGGAATTTATGGAAAATATGATGTGAACCTTTTCCACAGGAGTGAGATGCCCTGTGTTCACGGCTCCATCATATGTGGACCGCATGTGTTTGTGAGAGGCCAAAAGTCCAAATCGGTGTGAAAAGTCAGGGCTCGGCCAACTGGTTTGAGGTGCAGTCGGATTAGCAAGACCTTTGGGCCAATGTGACTGTGGGAGGGTCTACCGCTCGACCTGTTGCTACACGATACGCATGGATACGCTGTAAAAACTGCAGATTCCTCAGGCTAAGGGGAAGAAAGAAACACATAAAGAAGACTACATTTGTGTTGAATGCAGTCATTAAGATTAATTACAGACCAAAATGTGCTGCACTAGCTTTCACAGTTTACTTTTTGATTGATTTATTTGATATGTTACATTGGACAGACCAGATGTACTGCCTTTAGTGTTATAGTAAGACCATGTGAATTTTACACACTTGTCCAATAAAGGAGGCTTTTAGGGACATACATTAAAATTTACAAATGTAAAATTCATGGACATGTGTACGGCTTTGTTCTGGTTTCAGCCACAGTTTCAGACATCTGGTGAGGATGTTTAAGTCCATGGGAAGTGTGTTCGACAGTCTGGCTCCATTAACCAATTTAACTTCTGAGTCCTACACTGGTCACCTTTAAAACTCAAATCAAACTATGGCTGAAAAGAATCCAGTCATGTGACCACTGGACTCTTAACTTTTCCCTGTGCTGTCTGTACTGTATTGTGTAATTTTGGATTGTATGTTGTCATTTCTTATGTATTTTCCTGCCTATAGGGACTACGGATGAAAACTAGCTTGAAAGCTGTAATCCGGCATATTTACATTTGTTTTATACTGATGTTCATGCATTGTCCTAATCAAATAAATAAAAAACTTCATATTCTCCATTCTTCAAAATCTTACTCATGAACCTCAGACTTCCTCGGCAGTAAGATCTTGTTTTTCCAATTCCACAAAGTGATCAACAAATACGACATTTAGAAATCTGTTTGAAAAGTGAAGTCAAAGTGAAACTAGAATTTACGAGCAAAAACGTGTCACAATATTGTCTTGTTTTGAGCTTGTTGCTTTGTGTCTGGCCACCATCACTCACATCATCCTGTTCGCGTGGGAGGCTCTTCCTTTCCCATGTCAGCCACACTTCACTATAACCTATACGTAAACACATGACCTTTCCACAAACACAGGCTTTGCATCTGTTGCCACCTTTCACTAATTTTTGTCTAAAAAGGAAAAAAAACTGCACAATTTTTAAAAATGTGCAATCGTTCGTGTTAGAAACTGAGCGCTTTTCTTTGCATTTCCACCACGATTGTAACCGACAGGCAAAGGGCAGACAACATTAAGTGGGCGTTTGCAAACAAGCATATCACTTCCCGCTGTGCTGATTAGAATATTGCAGAGATATTAAAGCTGGGGTACATAAGTTTCAAACCACAAAAACATTTCTCTCAAAACAGTTTGTTATAGTAGTAGTTTTCACTTCACGGCCCATTTCGTATATTCGGATCAGCTTTTTCAGACAGAAAAACCACAAGGAGAGGACCACCCTCACTCAGCCAATCAGCTCGCAGCCCAAAGCGCCAAATAGTGATTAGTATTTGGCGCCAGTAGTTTGCAAAAGGTAATATAAAGACAGCATGTTGTGGTCTGACTTATTCACAACTTTTTCTGGTAAAACTAAAAAATGTACTGTACTGCTGAAAAAAAAACAATTATTTGACAACTAAGAATGTGGCATAATTGATTTTGCGAGCTATTTTAGCATCTGTCTTCCTTCACTATACATATGAAAAAAAAAAAAATCTAATTAGCAATCTAGTTTTCTTCTTCTCTAAATGGGACAAATTCCCTCTTGGTCTGACCGAAAGGAGAAAAACACAAATGAGTGCTCTCGATTCGCGTACATTTTAGTTTTCTTCACTAGTATTCAGTTGCAGTGCGTTTATTTGATATATTGAGGAAGCGAAAGAGCAGATGTGAGAGTGGCGGCCGGCATCACTGAGCGCTCTCTGCAGATGACAAAGCAGCGCAGAGTCACCGCTGAATCAGGAGCAGGGAGATCCTCAACTGATGACTGTGAGGGGGACTCCTGATATTACAACCGTGTCAACGCATGAACGAGAAAATACACGATGTTCTTTAGGACGAGACTTTTTCATTTGCATTAGATCTAGAGTCTGTGGTTTTGAAAGTTATCTGGGGAACCTACCTTTCAAAACCATAACCCAAAACTCATCTAACTAAGGTTTCAAAAGTTTCCAAAGTTTGGTTCTATCGCTGGTTTTTCGCTGTTATTATCTTGGCCTCCGTCACAAGTTTGGATCTGCAAGAATATCCATTGTTTGGTAATGAAGACAGGATGTTGTGGTCGGATTTGTTCTCGACAATTTCATTTAAAGAGTCTGGGAGAAACAGTGTGTAATCTTTGAAGTTAAGACTCCTGTTTTTTTTGTTTTTTTTTTCAGTTTTAATCTGGTTTAAAATGCCCTGCTGTTTACTTAACTTTATCATTTAGATCCACTCATTCCTTTCTTTCATGTAGGTTTTATTTTCTATGTATATAAACCAAATCTAATCTTCTGAAAATACTAAAGCACACAATTAATTTAGTTCTTTGGTGATTCCCATCTGCAGAATTGTGCCGTTGCCTGAATGTATGACACCGACATAAGTCATTTTCTCCATATTACAATAACCAACCTTTTCAACACGAGGTGAGCAATACATTGATCTATATATGCAAATATTTAATTTCCAGTGTATTGTTTATGATAAAAAAGGCCCAATTACAATTACTGCACTTTTGTGGTGAGTTACATGTTGAATGAAAATGTTTGAAAAAGCAAACCTTACTTTTTTCCTCAAGCACCACCACCATCAAGGGTAAAAAAGGTCAACTTGAGTGGGTGATTTTTGCATCTCACGAAACATAACAATTCAACAAAACCAGTAATTGTTTTCTAGATGGAAAAAAAACTGTTTGTGTATTTAATCAAGTTAGATTTGTAGAGGTATTTTTTTAATATATATATCTGAGAGTTGTTTGAAATTGTGCCTTCCATTATTCGTTTTTTCTTGTTGCTTGTTTATTGCCATTACATTTTTTGATTTCATTTTTGTTGTTGACATTTTTAAAGCAGGTTTTCTCCTAGTTGTCTGTTGTTTTGCATTTTATTTGAATTAAAGAATGAGATATTGACTTACACATATTTCATTTTAACTTTTTATTTTCATACAAGTAGCAATAGAAGGAATAGTGTTGTTGTGGCTTATAGGGTTAGGGTTGGCGCAGAGAGGGGGCCCACAAGTTTGTGTAAGCCCCAGGGCCTGTGGAATCGCTTAGAATGGCCCTGTTAAAAAATATTCTTTTACAACATATACTTATCTACACTGTTGTTTTCAATATTATTAATTTAATGTGATTATTTTGTCGTATTACTTGCACAAATTGTACTAAACGTCACAAATAAACGTTCCCCTGCCTTGCCCATTATTGTATCACTACTTTTAATCAGTGGGACTTGTGCGTAGTATTTTCAAATCAGTATAATGCAAAGCAGAATTCAGCAATGGCACTTGACCAATTTTTTATTTTTTTTTTTACTCACAGAAACATCAGATGATTTATTTATTTTATCTTTGAACTTTCCAGCGTCATCTAAAGTCTTTGTGTAATAGCGAACAGATGCGGAACAGGGAGATGCACAGTGACTTTGATAAACATGTCTACTGTTGAAATGGAAAATGGGCAATTATCATAA